GAGGTAGCTTCCCAGGAAGAAACCCTATTCTCTCCGCCGTGGCCTAATGAAATCATGTTTCACTTTGGATTAAATTAGAGGGGAGATGTGATCTTCTTTGAGAGAACTGTGTGGTTTCCCTGAACCTGGCACAAGCCTATGGTATACACGTGCCTGTTCCCCATTGTGAAAACCATTGCTTCCTCTGCCCACACCATTGAATCAAGAATTAGACTGCCAGACTGCTTCTCCTATCTGCAAGAAACATGTTTGCTATGCTCAGATGTCATATATTATTAAGGAACCGATTGATTATTCATCTGCTTTGTGTCTACGAAGTGTGGATTAATCCCCTGCTTGATTAGAGGATGGAGTGTGTATTAATTCCCTGAACATCTTATGAAGTGTCCCTCTTGCTATTTCGGTGTTCAAGTGGATGTTCCTTTATTGAATTCTCATGGGACAAGCCAGTGTGGAGTAATGGTTCTGGACTAGGACCTGGAAGACCAGCATTCAAATCTCCACTCAGGCACAAAGGCCACTGGGTCACTTTGGACTAGTCACTGTCTCTCAGCCTAACCAACCTTGCAGGGTTGCTAGGAGGATAAAATGGAGAGGGGAAGAAGTGAGCCCTCTGTAAAAAAGGGAGGATAAAATGTAATAATAAATGAGATTATTCATACATTCATCTCCATGTTATGTTTACTCACATACACCTCTGTTTCTTCCTCCATTCGTATTCTTTAATAACAAGAAACTAAAATAAACTGAAAATCTTACCCCTACCCCCCAAAAAAAATTTAATTACACCCAAACAAATAAATCTTACTCAGCCCGAAGACTTGGAGAAAGGAATTGTCACCCAAAGATGTGTGTGTTCATGTGTTCTTTCACACGAAACAATTTTAAATCACATTTGAAGTTTGGTGACTGCATTTCTCTGGCCTTTTTTAAGGATGTGGAGAATGATTCCTAGTCTATTTAGAGGAATACTGCCTCTGACAGTGGATTTAGAACATAACCTTATCTTCCAGATTCAAAGCCTGATAACATTTATATAGCTGCAGATTTTTCAATCCAGCAGAAGATAAGTCAGAAAAGGCATCCTTGGCCTTGTCAGCCAAGTCTTTCCCAAGTCTGTTGTAATTGATCAGTGCGCCAGGTACGCTGCTAAGCAAGCAGGGAAGGAGCAACAGGTAGGAGATTCAAAAGTATATGGAGGTGTCCTCAGCTTTCCTGGCAACCTCATTTTCAAGGGAATCAATCAGCCTGATTTGTGGGTGTTTGCATAATAAAGTAAAAGTGAACAGGTGAGAGAGAATCCTTTAAGGATGGATAGAATCAACAAGCAGCTGGAGGAGAAAAAGAGGAGAGGGCTAAGAAAGAGCTGTGAGCGGAGGGGGGTTCCTTTTCCCATCTTCTGGACCGCCTGGGAAACCCAGCAAACCTGCTGTACCTGGAACTGGGTGTGGAGAGTGCAGCTGAATGGGACACAGCCTTGGGCAGCCTGAGGAAGTACCATCCACCTTGGGCCTGCCCATAAAAAGCAAGTCTAGAGTGAGAGACTAGAGTGAAGTCTGCTGTTTGCAGGAACTTCTTGATGTGAGGCCTTTGTGGGTGAGCTGAGTGTTTTCTGTTGTTGCTACTCTTTTGAATACTGCTTAGAGACATTAAGTGGTATAGAAATTAAATAATCAAATCAAAATGAAATCAAACCTCCACATGTTTACCTGAGTGGTGATGGTGGTAGTAGTAGTAAAGGGGGGCAGGTAAATGCCATAATAAGCAGGGGCATTCACTATTATGGGCAGGTAGGAATGGATTGCTTTCTGCATTAGCCAAATTGTGATCTGCCCTACTGTTCCTGTGGCTGGAATGCACAAATAGATTAGGGAATAAGTTCCAGGAATTCATTGTGCTCTGTGCACACTAGTGGCCATTTAGGAAAAATAAATAAAGGGGGCACCAGCAGAAAATAAATGGTTTGTGTGTGCATTTAAATGTATCATCATGAGCTTTTAAAGGAAGAAAGTAAATTGTGATGAAAGGACAGGCTGGCGAAACCAGAGAAAATGAACTTTGAAAGTGGCACCTGTCTAATATGCAGAGTTACAGAGAGCAATGCAGAGAAGGTGGGGAAGATTACAACTTGGTGGGGTGGGGGCAAGAAACACCCGTCAACCATGCCTGATTCAGTTTCATGTAAAGTAGTTTCTATGGGTTTTACCTCTACACTGTGCTTACAGAAGGCTGCTTCTTTGTCATTTGTTGATGAAATGGGAGATTGGGCTTCTCCCTCGGGATTAATCCCATTGTGTAATCCACAGAGGTTATGCTTGTACAGGGACGCGGACTTATAAAAAATATTGGGGGGGCCCGGGAAAGCTCATGAATAATAAATAAGATCATGAATATGCAAATAAAGTGGCGCCGCCTCCTCGTGAGCGAATAGGGGAGAGCGTGCTGCGCCTATTAATCAGCTCCAAAGGAAATTGGGTGGAGCTTTTGCTCGGGAGGGAGGGCAGGAGGCATGCAGCCCGCCCCTCCCTGTGCATTTTGGGCTGGGGGAGGGGCGGCGATGGCGCTCTGCTGGAGGGGCGCCGGAGATTATTGGGGGGGCAGAGCCCCCCCAAACGAATTTTTGAGGGGGCTCGGGCCCCCTCAAGCCCCATGGAGTCGGCGCCTATGTGCTTGTATTAAGGTGGCTGCATGCATAAACATAGCACATCATACACACCTGAATGCACAAGTGGGAAAAGGCCAGGACTTCTGCTGGACCCATCAGAGGACACCTCTTCCACTCCCATTTCTTTAACAAATACCAGAATGATAAAGCAGCAGCCTTTTGCAAACACAGCGAAGGGAGCTGACAGGCAGCCTGCACGTCCTTCCGCAGAACTTTCCACTGCCCTTGAAAAGCTCCCCAAGCTAAACAAGCTATCTTATCGCACCTCCCAATGGTCCAGCCATAAGACACTAGGAACTAGAGCTAGATTTCCCTCAGCCATTGCATGAAGCTCCGCTGAAAGTTTATACACCCAAAGGAATGTATCTTTGTATGTGCTTGCTTCTGGGAAGCATGGGTGTGTTTGCTTTTGGTGCTTTACCTTAAATGACACAGTAGACAGGCAAGTTGGGGTGCTGTATCCTTCGCCTGGCCACGCCTTTCACACTGCAGCACCTTCTCATATGTCCTCCTGTGAACTTCTTTCTAGTCCCATTCCACCTGGGCCCAGGGTAGGCTGCAGGAATAGGGAAATGGCAGGCGGTGACTGGGCTCAGTGCTTTCAGACTGCCTGATCTCTGCTGGTAACTTGCTCCAAACAGAAAGCTGCCTTGATCCAATCACATCAGATCACTGGTCCATTTCACCTGAAAGGCTCTAGGCAGATGATCTTTTATATCACCACCAGGGATTGAACCTGGGATGTTCTAACACTGGAGCCACCAGGGATTGAACCTGTGTTCTCTTGTCTCTGAGCTAAAATCCCTCACGTGCCACCCTATCGTCTAGCAGCTGGCAGATCTTCTGGCCTTGCTTCAAAGTGTTGCACCAGGAGCACAAAGAATAGCACTACATGCAACAGCAGCAGAACCTTGACTTCAGTCACACAGCAACACTGCTTTACTGCTGTTTCATAGCTGTGTGTGCTTGAAGACAAAGCTGTGCTGCTATCATAAGTAGTTCTGTCCCTTGTGCTCCCAGTAGTGTGCTTTAGAATTAGCCACATCTACCAGAGAACCTCCCTTCCTAAGCAGAAAATTGTGGACAGTCATTCCCAAAGTGCATTTTGCATGCTTCCTGCAACATGACTGCCCCAGGATTCAGTAATTAATGGTTACAAAGAGATGATACCTTTCCTGACAATAACTGGGACCCTGCCTGGCCAACACCAGCATGAAGAGTTCCCTTGTTTTACACAAGGATGCTGCAATGTAGCTGCCTGCCCTTTCTAGCAGTGCAGGACTGTAGCAGAGATTAAGGTATCTCCTCAACTTTTCCGATGCTGTTAAGAGGATGGCAGAAGCCATGTTCAGGATGCATGTATCTTTTGAATGTTTGGGAGTAGGGTGGAGTGGAAGAAAGAGAAGGTAGTCAAGCATTTCATTTAAAAAATAGTGCCTTTTATTATAAATTAATGAACGTCATTTTTAAAATCCATTGACTATAAATATAAATAGATGTGCAAAGTTTTCTTCCAAGTTTGATTTTTTTGGTTGAGTCTTCAAGCATGTCTAACAGCCTGCAAGGCTGAAGGGTGGAATCTTTATAAAAGACAGAATGATATTTTTTTTTAAGGCAGGTCTGTAAACATTTCTTTCTGTAAAAACAAAACCTCATCTGCCCTTCTAAAACCCTGATATGGAAAAATAAGATGAACACACAAAATTTTGGTTACAGTTTTTTTGGTTTTTCCTTTTTTACAAAAAAAATAATAAGAGTTCCAGGTAATTCTGTTGTTGCTACATTCCTGTATGTTTTTCGGTTATTCAGTGCGATTTAGGGCCCAAGCAAATCCACAACCTCTGTGTAGATACAAGACCATTCTTTGATGAGCTGAAAACCCAAGAATAAAGGCAAGAGATTATCAGTCTGGGCGCAGGAGCCAAAGCTGAATAAACGCTTTGGGGGAAATGGCTAGATCATTCATTATCCATTTAGGTTTTCTAAAAGCAGTGGTGCCAATTTTGTAAAATGATATCCTCCATTGCTTGCACAGAGAATATATGGCATTCCCCCATGCAGTGTGCAGTAACAACCCAGGTCCATGGGATCAGAGGATGTGGAGTTTGTTTTAAGGCTTAGTCCCCTGTATGGATGTGCGGCAGTTCCTTTGAGGAAGAGGCTTTGGATGAAAAGATATTCTGCCCCTCCAGGAGGTTGAGAGAGGTAAAGATGAATAACAATATAAAAAGGTTTCCCCTTAAAACTGAGGAAAAGTCGGTCTTCAGGCACTAGCTGGATTCCAGTGCATTAGTTTCATTGTCTCTGCAGAATGGTTTTGGTCAAAGGTTTACTAGAGGTGGTCTGGGCCAGTGCAGAGCAAATGCTCTTTGTAAACTGTCCATGGGTTAGGGAGGGTTGCAAACCATTCTGATATGCCCAGCACAAGCCAGATAAACACAGTATTTCCTGGGCTGTAGCTGGGAAGGACAATTGTGTGAAGGAGCAGCAGCCTGTTCCATAGTCAAGCACCATCATCGGTCTCTTCCACAGAGTACCCCATCCATGGGCAAACCATCCAGAACAAACAACAGCAAGACCGTCTCTGTGCTGAGCAGAGGCTCCTTGCCTGCTCCACGCCCCCAGCCCCTCTTATTCCACAAGCCAGAATGGAAAAAAAAGTCTCTTGTCTCGCCCTGTAATCTCGTTAGCCATCATTTTCCAAGTCCTGTCCTTGTGCTTTTGTGGTGGGCCACCCCCACTGAAGGAGCCACTTAGAAGGGAGCGTCATATTGGTCCAGGAATTCTTTGATGGGACCTGGGAGCTGGGTCATCTTCTCGTAGGAATCCAAGTGCCCGTTGACCGTCTTGCGACACAAATGCTGCAGGGTGGACACATTGGACGAGAGAGGGCGGCTCAGCACCAGCGGGATCTTCTCCCCACCTGAGTAGATGTAGTAGGCACGTTTGGGGTGCGGCGCCTGCCCTGGCTGCTGCTCGGGGAGGGGCATGTAGTGATGGACCAGCTTCAGGACGCAGTCAAAGCGAGGCACGGGCTGGCTGCTGTGAGGGTCACTCTGGAGAGAGAAGGTGCCCCCCTCGCACTGGATCCGCAGGTTTTTGGTGCCCGACTCGGTCTTGACGCTGAGGGTGAAGAAGTGCCGCTGGTCCGAGCTGTCTCGGATGAGGAAGGTTCCCGTGGGCTCGGCACTTAGCAGCAGGTTGGCCTGCCCACCTGTCACCGCGCTCCAGTAGAAGCCGCTCTCCTGCAGCTTGCGCACAGCGTTCACCACCAGCTGGTATTCGCTCTTGGAGCTGAAAGTCTTGAGGCGCAGGCTGGTGTCCAGCGGGTGGCTCATCCCGGCGCTGGGGAACTTGCTGTGGGTGACCATGGCGCAGGGAGCCAGCTTTCCGAGCGATCGGGGCTGCTGCCGGATGCAGCGGCTTGCTAGAACACGGACCTGGCGAAGCAAAAGAGCAGGTGTTAAAAGACAAAGGGCAGCTTCTCCCCGGCAGCTCCGGCCCCGCAGGGCCCGGCCCACGCCATCCTCCTCCCCAGGCAAGCAGGGTTGCCAGCCGCCCGGAAACCTTCCGAGGCGTCCCCCCGAGTAGGTCGCTTGTGTCCTTGAGCCAGGCTCTGAAGCCAAGTGGCACCCCGGCTTGGGAGACCCCTAAGGGCGAACTCCCTCCGCTCTCCGTCCGCTGCACGTCGGAAAGCTCACCCCCGCGCTTTGCCCTTGGCTTCCCCGGCTCGCTTATGCCTTTCCATGCAGGCACCTCTCCGGAGCGCACGGGCGAGCGAGCGCCCCATCCCGTCTAGGCGCTTGCAAAAGCCGAGCACTTGGCCGGCCAACTACGCCAGAGAGAGAGGGAAAGAAAGATGGGGGGGGGAGGGGGTCAGCTCTGGGTCGGCGCTGGTTACCTGGGGAGCGACGAGAAAGGAGGCAGCGGGAAGCGGGGCGCCGGCAGCGCACGGCTTGTTGGCGAGGCTTTTGCAAGGGAAGCGGGAGCCCCTTTGGCTTTTGCGCGCTTGGCTCGTCCTAATTGCAAAGCCGCCAGAGCCCCTGCTGGAGGTTTTTATAGAGCATCCGCCAGCCCCGCCTCCGGGTTCCAGGAACTCAGCTTCCTCGCGAGCGCGCCCTAGGCAGGCAGCCAGCGGCCAGCCCATTCCGGGCAGTGAGGCCTCGCTCACCACCCTCCCCCCCCCACCCGCCGCCGCCTCGGTCCTGGCCGCGGCTGGAGCCCACCGCTTGGTTGAAAGAACTAGGAGGAGGGGTGCGAGTCACGTCTCCCCCGGCCAGAAAGGCTTGAGGAGGCTCGCGGCCGGGGGCAGCCACGTGGAGTTGCTCCGGGAAGATAGTCGGGTTCCGCGGGCACGCGTGAAAAGAAAGAGGCTTCCACGTGGGGCATGGTGCCTTGGGTGGGTGTGGGGCGCACAGCACACGTCTGTCAGAGAGGTAAAACCTCCCCACCGCCATCTGTCCCCCGCGATAAGAAAACCCTTCCCATAACGAATGGGACGAGTCCCGGCGAGGGTAGTAATTCGCAGCGCAATCCTAACCGTTCTACTCAGAAGTAAGCTCTGTTGAATTCAGTAGGGCTTCCTCCCGGATAAATTGGGTTAGGAGCGGAGCCTTAGCTTTCTTTATAGGCTTAATCTGTGAAGGGAGATGGGTGAAGCAGGCGATTTGCCTAGAATTTTGCTTAAGACTAAATGCATTCTTAAGAACAAACGATGAAGCCTCCTGGATCAGTCAGGAATCTATCTAGCCCAGTCCCGACCCCCCCCCCCCACTAGCTGCTTCTGGGGGCTCCAAAAGATCAGCATAATGGCAGTAGCTCCCCCCCCCCCCCCATTGCCTCTCAGCAGCTGGTATTTCCCTCCCCCCCCCCTTCCTGTTCAGGGTAAAGATCCTGACGATTATTCACTTCTAACTTAAATCAAACCACAGCTGGTTCTGCAGACCTTCCAGTCAGTGTTTTGAATTTCTTAGAAGACAGCCGTCATTTGAATATTGAACCCAGAAGTCAGATTTCCCAAGTATTGAAACTCCCTCCCCTCCCCCCGCTAGTTCCCCTTTCGTATTCCGCTAAACCCAGGTAAAAAAGGGAGAATCCGCGGCGGGGCCCAACGGACACTAGAGGGCGCTCTTTCCGCCCTGGCTGGGATGTAGCAGTGACGTTCGCCGGCCTCTGTTACACAAAAGGCAAGGGCTTGTCAGGTCACCGCAATGACACTACTTAGAGCACAGAGATCAAACCTGGGAGCTTTCTGGCATTGACGCAGTCCTCCAGCCGAGTTTCCTTCTGGACATTTGTGTGCTGCAAACCTCTTTGCTCCTGGAAGTCTAGGGTTGGGACATGGAAAGTACTTTCCCTCTGTAGCTGATTGGTTTCATCCTAGCCCTGGAGGTGGTGCTTCTGCATTGAAATCCTGCCCAGGTGCTGCAAAGCATCTCTCCTATCCCAGTGGACCTTGAGAAATCTCCCTATTTACCTAACTAAACATAGCTGTCCAGTAGCACGCACCATATTATGTACATGGGTGCTTAATATCGTAAACAGGTCACTCATATACCACAAATGGGTCTCTAGCAACAGGATGCTGTTTTTTAAAAAAATTCACTGGATTTACTGGAGAAATGATAAATCCAGATTAAATATGGGGGGGGGGGAATAAGGGCTAGCATTTTGATGCCAATAACATTGTGTAGACAGTGCAACAAACAAACAACAACTTATATGAAAAAGTACGCGGGTGGCGCTGTGGGGGTTAAACCACAGAGCCTAGGACTTGCCGATCAGAAGGTCGGCGGTTCGAATCCCCGCGACGGGGTGAGCTCCCGTTGCTCGGTCCCTGCTCCTGCCAACCTAGCAGTTCGAAAGCACATCAAAGTGCAAGTAGATAAATAGGTACCGCTCTGGCGGGAAGGTAAACGGTGTTTCCGTGCGCTGCTCTGGTTCGCCAGAAGCGGCTTAGTCATGCTGGCCACATGACCCGGAAGCTGTATGCCGGCTCCCTCGGCCAATAAAGCGAGATCAGCACCGCAATCCCAGAGTTGGTCACAACTGGACCTAATGGTCAGGGGTCCCTTTACCTTTACCTTACCACCAACTCCATGATAAACACCCCTCCGGAAGCTCATTGAGGCTGCTTTGGAGCTCACACAGTAGTTGGGAAATTTTGCTTTTTGCTAGCCAGTTTCTCCACCCTCACTGCCCCTCTGTGGGTAAAAATGGGAGCAGGAGATGGATTTCAAGGAGGCTGGAACAGCAATAGGATCCTGTTAATATAACAAGCACCCGGTATTGTATCCCTGGTTGGTTGTTGGTTTTCTGTTGCACAACTCCTTTCTTCAATGCTGCAATTAAAATAACTTTCCCCCTCCAGCTAACTCACCCACGTATCTGCAAAGCAACCTCAGGGATAAACATAAACATCTCTTAGGAGAGCTAAGCATACACAAAGCATCCAGGGGAATCCTTTTTGAGTAGATAGTTCCTTGTGCCGCTGTCACTCGGAAGGCATTTTCTCAAACTGAGCTGGATGATGACAGAACCATCTAAGTGTCAATGTTTTAAAGCGGTTGCTGCTCTGGAGAAGGTGTTCCTCCCTCCCCTCCTCCCATCTCCCCACCGCCACCCACTTAGCATTTTGTAGTGTTTGGCAGAGTCTCTTTGGGCCATGGAAAGGTTTGGGGTTTAATTGTCCACAGAGTTCTAAGCTGTTTGTTGTCTTTTCAAACTTTCCGAGGGCTGCATTCCACCCTATCCTCACTTGCCCTTCCCAGAAGAGCTGCAGGGAAAAGAGGCGAACCCGTGCCGAAACGTTTGGGAACAAGAAGGGCAAGAACCTCTCCCCCTTTCTTGTCTTGACTCCGTGCCTGAGGACTCAGGGAAACAGGTCAGGTTACTGGATTAACCAATGACTATACGTGCTGCAGCTGCTGTTCTTAAAGGAAGGAGTTGGTTTTGCAAGAGGAACAAGAGATTGAGGTAGCCTCCCTACTAGAATGATGGGCTCCTTTAGGCTAGCTGCTGGAATGGGTGCTTAGGCCGGCTGCTGGAATTTTCCCATGATGACATGAGAATGCGATGTGTGAGCTGGGACAGCAAAGGAGTGCATGGGCTGGAGGCTTTTTGGTACAGTGGTTGTGCAAGAGCCACTTGGTGCAATAATTGTGTTTGCTGCAGGGATACCTGTGATTCCCACAGTGAACGCATGAAGCTAGAAGGGTAGGTGTGTGGCCCGGAATGCTAGGATATATGTACTGGGTTCTCCCCAGTTGCCTGGCGTTCCCCAGGGCATGCCCACTGGGGTTATAGAGATGTAAAGCTGCCCTTTGCAGTTCAGGTATTTACTGCTGGAGGCCTGGGGCAGCTCTTAGGGTCTTCTCAGAAGATCAGTTTTAATAGCACAGTAAATTCACAGTTCTTACGTATTTGCGGCATGAGATCCAGATGTCTTCCCTCAAGGTAGCGTTTCTTTACATTTTTGCAACAGTCAAACTGCAGAGGGGGGTGTGATTTCCTAACACGTTTGTGCAAGCGCTGTTTGGAATACTGCTACACGAATATTACAGTCACCATCACGAGTGTTAAATGGCATGGTTCACCTCCCCCCCCCTCTTGTGTAATTTTGTAATGTTGTAATGCCTTCACTTCTTTGTGGGTGTGCGTTTTCAGTGCTACTGGAGCTCTGCAGTGTTCAATGAGTGATCGTTGAAAGCAATGCTTTTTTTCAGACGGAGCGTGCCAGAGCGCAGTTCTGACACCTCTCAGGTGGGCGCCATTGTGGGCTAGTGCTCCCCCCCCCACCTGATTCTTGCCTTTATGTACTTCTGAGAAGCCCAAAACGAACATTTCAAGTCAAAATGGAAGCTGGCCAGTGTGTCTACACTTTATTTTAGATCTGACTCCACCTAGCTCCTAGCTGCGATTGGTCAAGCTATGGGGCATGGCCAATTCATATTTCCTTTTCTTCACTCTGTTTCCCATGTAGTGATGGAAAGCTTTAAACTTTCCAGCTAGGCCTCTACCATTGCGCACGCACGCACACACATATTTGTGCAGGGGCCCTTCCAGCTCCTCTAGCCATCTTTCTGAATCTGAGAGAACGAGGGAGGCGAGGATGCATTTATTTGATCTGCACCAGAACCAGGGGCAACCCCCAAACCAGGGAGACAGCACAAGATCTACCCACCTTGGAAGAATGGCAGATGAAGGTGATAGACTATATGGGACTGGCAGAGATGACCGGCAGAATCCGAAACCAGGGAAGAGAAACAGCGGAAGAAGATTGGAAGAAATTCAAGGACTATCTTAAGAAATATTGTAAAATTAATGAATGTTAGAATGACGTTGGGTCAGAAAATATGTGGTTATCAGCGGTAATGGATAAGTAAAAAAGAAAAGAAAGGTCAAAAATTAACTGAAAAATAAGGGAAGGATTTGCTGAATAATAAATTAGAAACTGGAATACAGAAAGGGGAGGTATGAGGAAGTCGGGGAAGTAAGTTATAAGAAAATAAGGGTTGAAATTATACTTGTTTTTTATTCTCTGTTTGTCTATGCTATTGTATTGTATTGTTTTGTTGTTATAAAAAAAACTTCTGAAACTAATAAAAATTTTATAAAAAACAACAACAAACAAACCAGGGAGACAGCTTGCAATGTGCTCCTCAAACTCTTTCCCCCCCTTTTTTTAACAGCCTTTGCTTGCTTGCTTTTTTTTTTTTTTTTGGCCAAAGTTTGTCTTCCTTTTCATTCTCTTCATTGGGACAAGACTTCAATATTTTTGCCTCTAATAGCTTCTTTGATTTTGCTTGTTGACCATGCTGGCACCCTCTTGAACCTTATGGTACCTTTTCTGATCTGAGGTGAACGTCTAATATTTTGTTTTTAAACATTCCCCAAGCATTTTGGAGTGATCTGACCCTCTTGACCTTCCCTTTCAACTTCCTTTTTACCAATCTCGTCACCGTGAGGGAAGCTTCCTATTTGGAAATAAGATGTGACTGTGTTGGATTTTTTTTTGGTATTTACGTGTATATTTAATTTAATAGCACTATGGTCACTGCTCCCTACTGGCTTGACAACACTTACAT